TTTTTTTTTTTTTTTGGTACCAGGGATTGAACTAGGGACCTTGGGCTTGTGAGGCAGGTGGTGGAACCACTGAGCTAAATGTCCGGCCCGTTTATTGTTATATAGCTTCTACATTTCATTGAGATTTAAAGAAGAAAAAATTATGTAGAGCACAGGAATAGAGCACTCTACTAAAGTCAGCAAGAAAAATAAAATGTATTGTTATTTAAGAGAGAATAGGTATTGAATACAGGTTTTAAAAAGACTATACATGTGTAGTAATAAAATAATAAAAAAGAAAATAAAAGGGCTCTACTATATAATGTTCCAAATAGATACTTTTTCAAATAGGTAATTTTTGCTTTTTAACAAGTGCTATAAATAGAAAAGAGAAAAAGCAGGGAGAGAATTGAAAGAGGGGAAGACAAGATGAGCAGACAGTGTTCTACAGTGAAACAATAAAGCACTTTAATTTGTATGACATATAGATGTACTTTTTAAATACTTGCATCTGTGACAAAATTAAAATATTGACATTACCATTGTTAGGATCAGTACCCTTAGAGTTACAAAAATAGAGAGCAATTTGAAAAATTTTCGCCCACCATAAAAATGCTTTGTCCCAGATAATGTATGATTAAGTATCAAAGAGGATAGGTGTGGATTCTGTAGGAATACAGGGGACAGTATGAGAGAACTGGGGAGGAGTCCATTTCCAAATATTTAAGCTGGCTCTTGAATGGGTACTACTGGATCAGGAACTATCTGTTCAGGAAAATGGCCTAGGACTATTAGCAATACAACATACTCATTAAAAATTATTCAGAGAGGGCTGGGATTTAGCTCAGTGGTTTCACCACCTGCTGTGCAAGCGCAAGGTCCTGAGTTCGATCCCCAGTACCAAAAATAAAAAATAAAAAATAAAAATTATTCAGAGGCAGGCCAGGGATTTAGCTCAGTGGTTTCACCACCTGCTGTGCAAGCGCAAGGTCCTGAGTTCGATCCCCAGTACCAAAAATAAAAAATAAAAAATAAAAATTATTCAGAGGCAGGCCAGGGATTTAGCTCAGTGGTTTGGCCGCCTGCTGCGCAAGCACAAGGACCCTAGTTTGATCCCCGGTACCAAAAATAATTACTCAGAGGCAGATTGCTCAGTTCAGATTAGACCTTGCTACTTAATTGCTTTGAACCTTTGGGAAAACTACTGCTCTGTTTCTCAGTTTTTTAAAAAACTAAAATAAAAATCATAAGCCCTACCTTTTAGAGTTTTGGAAGGAATAAAGTAATCTACATAAAACTAAAGCACTTTAAAACAATGTATGGGGCCGGGGATTTAGCTCAGTGCTTCCAGCGCCTGCCTTGGAAGTGCGAGGTCCCGAGTTCGATCCCTGGTACCAAAAAATTATAAAACAATGTATGGCATAATCTGTAATTGTGATCTGCTGTTACCACTATCATCTTTATACAGATATTTGGGAATTATAAAGGAACAAATCATGTTTACTGGCCAGTAAGACTGGCTTGATTATAATACATAATTCATAAAGTGTTCAAGAAGTCAGCTGGAGTTAGATCATAAAGACCTGGGATGCTAGATCAAAAAGTAGCTAATTATTATTTGTTTATTGAAAAGGAAACAAACTCAAAAAAATATATATAGCATGTCTTCAACTGCTTAAATATTAAGTAAAAGAACTAGTACCAGCATTTAAACTGCAATGTATATTACTGTAAACTCCACAGGGCTCCTCAATGAAAGCACTGTTTTAGGAAAGTATATTTTTAGTATATCCACAAGGCTTAAATTCAGGTGATGGCAACAGGAATGGGTACGGTAGAGATAAGTTTCAATTCCTTTCTAGCCCTACCATAACTTTGGTGGCTTTCTTACCCCGCTAGGTTCAGAAAGAAAATATTTATATCATTTGATCTACTTTATAATTTTTCAGAATTTATAATGCATATTTTTCTTGTGTGCTCTTCTACAGGTTTTAGATGGAGCAGGATTAGATATTGATTTCCATCTTGCCTCTCCAGAAGGCAAAACTTTAGTTTTTGAACAAAGAAAATCAGATGGAGTTCACACGTAAGTTGGGTTTTGGGTTAAAGAGCTATCTGCAGGGCAGGGTAATTTAGTAGAGTTAGTATTAGATAATTCCAAATAATTGTAAACAGTCTTCAATGGTGGACCATCTTCTAAACTAAAACATTACATTTTAACTTTTTATTTTTTGGAAACAAAGACTTGCTGTATTGCTCAAGTTTGCCTTGAATCTCTGGGCTCAAAGAATCCTCCTACTTCAGCCTCCTCAGTTGCTATAATCAGCTAATTTTTTATTTTTTAGGCATTTTGTTTTGATCTGGATTACATTTTTTCTTTGCTTTAATACATTACTATTCCCTAGGTATGTATAAGGCATTTTACACTTGCCTTTCTGGCTAGCACACACTTTGCATTTTAACTAAAAAGTAGTTACAGGTTGTGTGTCTTAGATTTATTGAGCTGCTGGCTGTCACAATTTGATTCTAAGTCTTCTTTCTTGAAATAATATAATAGATCTTTGTATGTGTAAACTGTTTTAGTCACACCTTACTCTAATTAGAAGGCCTGTAACCATATAGAAAAAAAAAAATCTCTGAGTTCAAAGTTTGACAAAAAGTTACACCATCTCTTCTTACGTGTCACTTCTCCATATCTCACTGGTATGTTTTCCTGTCCCATTCTCTTTCACTATACCACATTCTTTTTTTTTTTTTTTTTTGAGGCAGGGTCTCGCTATATAGTGCACGCTGGCCTTGAACTCACTGTGTATCGCAGATTGGCCTTGAACTTGCAACGATCCTTCTGCCTCAGCCTCCCAAGTGCTGGGATATAGCACATTCTTTAGTCAGTATTAATGTTAAAACTGAACTGAGTTTACAAAAGGAAGATGAGTAAAACCAGAGTATATTATTTGTCGTAAGCTAAGTTTACCATGTCATATGCTTCTAAATTAATCCTTCCACCAACTACAAGATAGATTCTTTGATTCCAAATCCCCATTTTACAGATAAGGACGCTCAGAGATGTTAAATAAGTCTGCAGGGATACACATTCAGGGCGGAGACAGGATGAACCAAAACTCTTGCTTTCTACTATATGATGCTCAGAACATCCCTGGCACATAGCACTACTGTAAGTACTAAGTATTATTATAATTATTGGTTTTTGTTAACCAAAATGCCTGGCATATAATTGATACTGAGTAAACACTAAATATATGAATGAGGAGGAAAAAAGTCTCAACCATATTTTTTTAGAATACTAATTTAAAATAGTTTTTTGGTGAACTGGGGATTGAACCCAAGGCCTTTACACTGAGCTACATCCCCAGTCCTTTTTTATTTTGAGGTAAGATCTCACTAAGACAAAGTTGTCCAGGCTGAGCTCAAATTTACAATCCTCCTGGTTTGGCCTCCCAAAATGCTGGGATTACAGGCATCCAATACCACACCCAGCTAAAATGTTTTTTGCCTACATAGAACACAGAAAAATATTTGCATAAACCTTTAATAAAATAGAAAAATGGTGATTTAAAAGTCATTTTTGATTGATATCAAAAATAGGTATATGAACAAGAATAATTCATCTTTAAGTTTCAGAATATAAAAAATTTCTTGTCAGTTTTTATTTGTCCCTAATTATCTGCTTTTCTTTAGAGATAAGTGAAAGTTAACTATTGGGGACAAAAGGTATTTTATCGCTTTCTTTTTTTAGAATTACCTCTTGTTAAGCCATTAGAAAAAAAAGAATTGAGTTTATTATAATTCACATTGAGTTCTTTTAACATGCCAAGGCAGTATACACTTTTTATGTATTAATTTTTTTATTCTTCACCACAATGCTGAGGTATATAATATTTTGCTAATGAGGCACAGTGTATAGCTAAGTGAGTTGCTAAAGGATACCAGCTAGTAAAAATCAAAGCCAGTATCTAAACCCAGGCAGTACAACTCACTGTTAATCACTACAGCAAATTAAAATATTTCTAAAAACTGGATTTAAACAGAAATTTCATTTTTAGCTACGTTAATTTTGTAAAATCTCAATTATAATACTGAAGTAGATTTTTCCACTAAAGATCTTGGCATTAAATGTCGGGTAAAATAAGGTTAGTGAATATCTTCAAACAGAATTTAATAGCTTAAATAATATCTATCTACCACTGCCTGTAATGAGGAATAATAAATACATGAATGCAATTTTTTTTTTGGTTTGGTTTTTTTTTTTTTTGGTACCGGGGATCGAACTCTGGACCTTGCATTTGCGAGGCAGGCAGCCAAACCACTGAGCTAAATCCCCGGCCCACATGAATGCAGTTTTTTCTAGACAACTAAATTAATATTACCCTAACATACTACTAGAATTTTAGATTGTTAACTCATTCTACTAGTAACTTATGCATTTTTAGTTGTGTAATATTTTGTATCATTTATAATAAGATTCCTTTCTACTAAAAGCTGTCAATACAAATTTAGAAAGAGATTAATAAAGAAATAACTATAACATAGTAAGGAATTTTTATTTTTCATATACCTACATAATCTTTTTTTTATACACTTGCTGAAGCTCATATGGTTGACTCAGGGTTTTTCAACTTTTTTCTATTTGTACTTTATTCCTCTGCTTACAGCCTTTGTAGATCCTTTTCCCCATGACATTTTAATAAGACAGATACACTGCATATTTCTTTATATACTGTATGTATATCTGTGCTTTAAATAATAAATACAGCAGATACAAAGCTTGTTCTTTTTGTTCAGTGCACAGATGAAGAATGGCTAAGTAAAGCTCAATTAAACATAATTAAGTCCAAAATTATTAGAACTTTAAAACTGGGAAACTATTAATATGAAATGCAACTTTTAGTTTAAAATCTTTTCTGAGTAACTTTTAATGCATTTATTTGCAGATAGAGCAATGTATCAATTATACATAATAGCAGTTTATATAACTACATAAGATTAGTAATGTAATTAAAATCTATTGTTCCATTTTTCAGTACAAGTAAATTATTCTAAAATAACATTCGTTTTTTAAAAAATTATTTTTAGTCAAATTAATTTTTAATTTTTTCTTGACAGGGGAAACTAATTCTAACTAGCTACTAGTTATTCAGATAATACTGAAAGTTTTTTCAGTGTTTGGCGTAATTAATGAGTTGAATAACATCTGTAGAATTAAATAGTAAACTACTTTTATTTAATTCTCCAGAAAATCTTTGAAGATTATACATCATCCATAAGGGAGCCATTGTCAGTCAAGATGCATGTTATAGACTACCTCTTCCAATATAACTTCAAGATCAAGCAATCAATCAGTTGAAAATCCTCAAAGAATAGAATAGTTTGTGAACAAGAACACCATGTTTTATAACATTATTACTGCATACTTATTGTGTATTTTCTCTGAATTGATGCTGTTTGTGAGATACCAGGAAAACCCAAAGACAGAAACTAAATTTTAAGGAATAAAATTGAGGGTTGAGCTTTGGAGGTCACAAACCATTTTAATATCTAAGATTTTTTTCTTTTGTCCTTTTCTGAGCAATATCACATTCATTGAGAAAGCTTAGAGTAAATGAATGCTATCCTTCAGAATAGTCATTTTTACTGGTTATACAGTTCTTGTAACAATGTACACATTAGAGTGCAATGGAAAATTTTCCTCAGGAAATGTCCTACATCTGGGTTAGATTATCTCCTATTTATGTCATAGTTTTTTACCTTTTAAAATTGTTCCCCACTGTATTCATCAGTATTTGCACAGGCTTCTCCCAAAGGTAAATATGTCCCCAGAAGACAAGCTTGTCGTAATTGGGACTGCAAAGACTATGGGCAAGTTCTGAGCAGTATAACAGAAAGATTAACTTGAACTGGGCATGGTGGTGCACACTTGTAATCCCAGCACTCTGGAGGCTGAGGCAGGATTGCCACAAGTTTGAGCCCAGCCTCAGCTACATAGTGAGTTCAAGGCCAACCTGACCTACATAGTGAGACCCTGACTTGTAATCAAAAAAAATCAGGAATCAGACTTCATCGATGCCTGTTAACAGATGATGTGATGATCATGTGAAAATATTTTAACCTGTTTGAACTTCATTTTATTTACCTGTAAAAGTTAAATTATGCCTACTTCCAAATGTGATAAGGATTAAAAGAAATAAAAGATGTGAAGTCAGTGTATGTATTATGAAGCATTACATAAGTATTAGCTGTTACTACTTTATTTGAAGCATAAATGAACAGCATTCACCATTGTATAGTTATCTCTTGTGCTTAAACAAAAAAACCTCAATAAATTGGAAATAGGATAAAAAGAGACAGATTACTTTAGGAACTAAACATATTTCTTTTTTGGTTTTGGTACCAGGGATCGAACTCGGGGCCTTGCGCTTGCAAGGCAGGCGGCTGAACCAATGAGCTAAAAGCTAAATCCCCGGCAACAGATTAGTTTAAAAAATGAGAATTACATGTATCCAGAAGGCCATAGAAAATAATGCAACCCTCTTGAAAATTTAAGTGTTCTGTCAGCATATTGGCAATGGGAAAAGACCATTTAAATTGTGTTTTTCTAGTGTGACCTAATACAGTGTGGAAAGTCAGTAGTCATTACATAGAATTACATCATAAAAAATGAATTTATGGTTAAAATACAGATACCTGTGATTAGAGAGAGGCAAACCAGGAGGATCTGAACATTTTAATGGATAGAGTATTGATAGGTAACTGTAAGAGGGCATGCCCAAAAAGAAAACAATGATCTTAGGTTAGAACAAAAGAACAATTCAGGTTTTCTTTGCTGAACTGAGTATGTGACATTAGCAGGACATTGAAGAAAGATAAATGTTGCTGGGCATTGTGGCGCATGCCTGTAGTCCCAGCAATTGGAAGGCTGAGGCAGGAGGATTGCCAGGAGTTCAAGGCTAGCCTGAACTGCATAGTGAGACCTTGTCTAGAAAAAAGCAAAAAACAAAAGAAAGAAAGATACATGTTTAAGAAAAATTTCACTACATGTCTCTCTCTCTCGCGCGCGCACACACACACACACACACCAGGTTTTAGTAGCTTGTCCTTTGGGTCCTCAGATCACACTGAAAAGACAGAAATGGGCCCAGAGCGCACATACACACCATGTACCTTTCTTTCAATTTAGCATTTTCTTGAACCTCCTCACACATATTCACTGGACAGTAGAACAGAGGGCATAATCTAGAAAGTTGGAGGGATGTTTGCCTGTTTCAGGCCTCATAAATTGTAGTCAGTGCTCTGCATCCTTTGATATATCACACTTACCCCAAAACTGACAGATGCCCCACTAGCTCTGGATTCACTGAAGATCTTAACATGAAGAATATAATTTGGCTCCTCCCTTGCAAAGCCTGACAATATAATGCTGCATGTCAACCAAAGAGAAGTATAGGCAAGATTATCTAAGTCAAAAGAAGTATACATTAATGTACAGGTTAATAAAAGATGATGAAATTCTGGATATTAGCTATAAAAACTTTAATGTAGGACTATAAAAGACAAGCAGCTCTGACTCCACACCCCCACTGCTTAGATTTCCCCCAATTCCAGTTGAACCCACCCTTGGGATATTGAATAGAGGTGGAAAGCAGTTTAAAATATAGCTGAAACAGTTTAGAAATCAGTTCATCTAAATAAGAAACTTGCTAGGCATATCGAAACCTTTATTAGAAATATAATAACACTTTAATTTGGGAAAAGGCTCATTTAATGTGCACATTAAGTGTACTTATTTTGTAAAAGTTTCTTTGTAAATTATAGTTGCTCTATTACTGAATAAAAGAGGCCATATATGTATCTATTATTAGTGCTCATAGGGTAATTTTTATGAACTCAGTAGCCCTACCAGAGCATTTCTCTTTTTTTTTTTTTTTCAGAGCATTTCTTTTTTGGCCAGTTTCTTAAAGTTTTATCAGTAGTTTCTTGTGAAATAATTAACTGAATAAAGATAACAGGTATTTCATTGATATATTATAAAAATGTAAATTAGTTTTGCCATTCATTCAAGGACACTTACTTGTTTTCTTATTTGGGACCACAATAGTAAATGTCATTACCATAGAGTATTTTGCTTGTTTCAGCTTATCTCCATAAAAAATCTTTGGGAAACTACTTCACTAACAAGTCAACTATGGCCAAGCCAGTTATTTGAATGGGAAGGTAGTAAGACCAAAGATCTTAAGTTCAGTTTATTTGTGAATGGCATTTTTTCAATAAAGGTAATGCAACTAAAAGTAAAGGTCTGTTTGCTGGCTATAGACCTCATCTTTAATCTTTTTAGACTGTATTACAAAAATGTACTTAATTATAGGAGGCCTAGAAGAAAACATTACAGACAATCTTAAAAACAATTTACACATTAATCTCACTTGAAGGGTACATCGGTGGTCATATATACACATAGCATAATGAACTAAACTCATGATAAAATTCCCTTAATGTATAAATATTAAAATTTCTTATGAATTATGGTATATTTAGGTTTTTAATCCTATCATCTTTCAAAAATTAGATCAAGATAATTTAAAAAGTAAATGCCACACATGTTTAAGTTACAAGTGTTTCCAGACTGCTTCTTCACCAAAACTATAAATTACCTCTTAATACTAAGGAAATTGAGAAGCTATCTAATTATAAACCATGTTTCTTCTCTTTTACTTGTAGTTGTTTTCCTTTTGATCTCAAATTGATGTACAAATAACTGAAAACATGCATTTTTTTAAATTCAGTGTAGAAACTGAAGTTGGTGATTACATGTTCTGCTTTGACAATACATTCAGCACCATTTCTGAGAAAGTAATTTTCTTTGAATTAATCCTGGATAATATGGGAGAACAGGCACAAGAACAAGAAGACTGGAAGAAATATATTACCGGTACAGATATGTTGGAGATGAAACTGGAAGACATCCTGGTTAGTATGATCGTCTAATAAAGCAATAAAACTTATTAACATCCAGATGCCTAAATGTTATAGGCATTAAACTAAGCAGTTTATCTACCTTTTATATCATTTCAAATCTCAGTTTTACTTTATGTTCATACAGCTCTATTAGAGCTTTTACAGGACCCTATCATAATTTTCTATTTTTTCCAGAAAGTGCAACTTAAGAGTACATCTTGGTAGGCTTATTTTATAAATGTTATGTTAAACTATTTTTTATTATAAATACTATTAATTGTATGTAGCCCATATAAAAATGAAATATTTTCTGATTTTACTAATACTTTGTGAGATAAAAACATTTGGTATTTTGCTACATTCTACATTGGTCAGACTAACAATCAAACAACAAAATATTATAAACACACAGTGCATTAAAAAAATAGGTAAATACCTAAAGGTAATAAACAGTTGGCTTTTTAAAAGCTATAATCATTTTGTGGTTTTATGAGCTTACAAAGATACTATATATGAGACTCCAGGTGCTGTGCTACTGAAATAGTTTCATATTAATTCATAGTGTCATTATACCTTATTAAATAACTAAATTTAAATAAATCAGGAGAACTATTATATAATCTTACGGTGGATTTTTAAATAATATGAGTACTACTGTCCCTTTACTGAATTGTGCCGCTAAAATTACATTTGGATTAAAAAAAACTCATTAGGCTTGTTTTAAATTCACATAATATTTCTGAATTGTTTATAGTAAAATTATTTTATTTATCTCCAGGAATCCATCAACAGCATCAAGTCCAGAGTAAGCAAAAGTGTTCATATACAAACTCTACTTAGAGCATTTGAAGCTCGTGATCGAAACATACAAGAAAGCAACTTTGATAGAGTCAATTTCTGGTCTATGGTTAATTTAGTTGTCATGGTGGTGGTATCAGCCATTCAAGTTTATATGCTGAAGAGTCTATTTGAAGATAAAAGGAAAAGTAGAACTTAACCCTCAACTACTTAACAAAATTGAACAAAAAGGCAGAAAAAATGCAATAAGTTGTTACCATTAATACTCAAGACCATTAGTCTTTTCCAAAATGTTTTCAGGCATTCTTAGTAAATGTAAAACAAGTATAATTTTACTGTGAAAGTCTACACTTTCTGTGCAAGTTACTTTATTGATCCAGTCATACTTAAGGGTGTAACAGGAACATTT